AAAAAAAAAAAAAAAGATGATGGTGGTGGTGACACAAGTGCATGCACGTGTCAGAATTTGTCAACTTGTATACTTTAAATATGTGTGCATGGGGAGAGGGTGGCACACCTCATCAACAGGGGCACAATGAATGTTTGTGTAACCAACCCTGAGTTGTACCCCACAACTTGAAAATAAAATTTTTTTTTAAATAAATAAATATGTGTGCAGGCTGGGCGTGGTGGCTCAAGCCTGTCATCCCAGCACTTTGGGAGGGATTTGTTACATTTCAAGAATCAGGCGAGAAGATTGCTTGAGCCCGTGGGTTTGAGACCAGCCTGGGCAACTTGGTGAGACCTTGTCTCTACAATAAATTTAAAAAAATTAGCCGGACATGGTAGCACACACCTGTAGTTCTGGCTACTTGGAAGGCTGAGACGGGAGAATTGCCTGAGTCCAGCAGGTCAAGGCTGCGGTGGCCGTGAGCATGCCACTTCACTCCAGCCTGGGTGATGGAGTGAGACTCCGACTCAAAAAAATAAAAATTTTTTTTAAATATGTGTGTACTGTTGGTTGTCAGGTACACTGCAAAACCTGCACAACAGTTGTGGAAGGTACGTTGGCTTAACCTTCTGGACTAAAATTTGGCAATATGTGTGAAATATTTCATGTGAAAACTTTTGATGTAATATTTTACAAAATCTAGAATTATTCTTTGACACTAATCAAGTATTTACATGAAGATAATACATGCAAAGCTGTAAGTTACAGTATTGTTTGTAATAGAAATTCCCATTGCCAGGACAAATTCCCTTCATATTTACACACACACAAAACCAGCTCTCGTGCAGGAAATTGAGTGCAGTTGGCAGGCAGTGGGAGCCTGTCACTCTGAAGGGCATGTGAGGACAGTGAGGGGGCCTGTGGCTGTGCCTACCTCTCCCTGCAAGTCCCTGCTGCCCGGCTCGGTGGCTCAGTCTGTAATCTCGTGGCTTGGGAGGCCGAGGTGAGTGAATTGCCTGAGCCTGCGGGTTCGAGATCCACCTGGGCAACCTGGCAAGACCTCATCTCTACAATAAATCCAAAAAAGTAGCCGGGCGTGGTAGTGCGCACCTGTAGTTCAAGAGAGCAGGAAGGACATGGCAAGGGCAAACACACTAGTAAGAGGGAACTTAGTCCTTTGTTGTGGTTTCATCACAAAATTTAGTTTATAGCAGATTCAAAAACAGAAGACTGCTAAAACCCTTAGGGGATTTAGCATCAGTATTTCTTTTTTTTTTTTTCCTTTTTTTTTTGAGTTGGAGTCTCACTCTGTCACCCAGCCTGGGGTGCAGTGGCCGCTCTCGGCCACTGCAGCCTCGACCTGCTGGGCTCTGGCGATCCTTCCACCTCAGCCTTCCAAGTAGCCGGAATTACAGTCATGCGCTACCACGCCCGGCTGATTTTTTTGATTTATTGTAGAGATGAAGTCTTGCCAGGTTGCCCAGGCGGGTCTCAAACCCGCGAGCTCAGGCAATTCACTCACCTTGTGGCCTCCCAAGGCGCGGGATTATAGGCTGAGCCACCGAGCCTGGCAGCATCAGTATTTCATATTTTCATTATATGTCAAAGGATCTGACTTGTGATCATCCAAAGAACTGTTAAGTAAATGCAATAAGTAGAGCACTAATAGATGTTTATTCTTTCACCAGGATAAACACCAAACTGTTTAAAAAATAAAATAAAAACATTTTTCTTCGTGATAATTTCTAGAACAGGAAAAGCGTGAAGGACCAAACCAAACATGGAAGTATGGAGAAACCTGTTGGTGCCAAGGACCCCCTGGGGATGGCGGCCTTTGCTGCAGAGACCAGTGTTCTGGGTATGTGTCTGTAGTGGTGGGAGAAGGGTCCTGGGAGGACGGTACCTGGAGATCATTTGCCTTGGCACGTGCCCCTGCGGGAGGAGGAGTGGGCGGGAAGAGGAGTAGCCCCAGTCGCGGCCTCCCTCAACTCCCTCAACCCAGAGCAGGTTTGCTGGTTTACATTGGGTGCTTTTAAAAGACTGCTGGGTTGTGGGTTAATTGTACCAGGTGCCCTTTTAACGTAGGGTAGATGTTTTAAAACCCTGTGTCACTGGAGGATTTTAATCAAGCAGAAGAATCCATTGAATGGCCTGTGTTTTTCCTCTCAGAAATCTGTGTTTTCCGGACTCTGCTTAACCAAGCCGGGCATACTATTCAAGGGAACACATAGTGCTCTTGTCTTGCCCTGGCCACACGGAGGAGTGCTCTCCTCTGTAGTTCAGCTTTAGCCTCTAACACAGCCTGTACTGATGCCTGACCCAGGTGAAGACGTGGCCACAGTGTTCAGTGCCGTTTGAATCTAACTGAAACTGTCTCTCCGCTTTGGATACAGTAGATGGAGCCCAGACACCCACAGCAAGAGAGGAGTTTTTCAATCCAGTGCTAAATGAAAATCAGAAGTTAGCAGTTAGAAGAATTCTGAGTGGCGACTGCCGCCCCCTCCCGTATATTCTCTTTGGACCTCCTGGGACTGGAAAGACAGTGACAATCATAGAAGCTGTCTTACAGGTGAGGGTTGCAGTACCACTGTGCTGTGCTTCTCGCTGCTGTCCATGTTGCCTTCACGTGTCTCAGTGTGAATTATGAGTCAGGAAGTTGTAAAGAGCTTGAGAAATCCAGTTATTCCACAACGTTTAGTTAAGTTTGTTTATGTGAGTATGCAGAGTTTTAAGAGTTTATTTAATAGGTTAAGAAGGAAGTTCGTTTTCAGCTTAGTAAATTAATTGATCACATCCTGAAATTTTGCTGCAGAAAAGAAGTTCCCTGGCCAGGTGTGGTAACTGTTATCCCATCACTTTGGAAGGTCGAGGAGGGAGGATTGTTTGAGCCCAGAAGTTCAAGACCAATCTGGGCAACACAGTGAGACCTTGTCTCTACAAAGAAAAACCAGAAAAACTAGCCAGGCATGGTGGAGTGCCCATGTAGTCTTAGCAGGCGGTTTGCCTGATCCCAGGAGGTCCAGGCTGTGGTGAGCCACAGTTAGGCCTCTGCACTCCAACCTGGGCAGCAGAGTGAGACCTGACTCAAGAAAAAATAGTTACCCTTCTGCAGAAGGTTTTGACATCTCCGTTTACTTTTGAAATTAAATTTATGAAATTGTTGTGTACAGATGTTCCTTGACTTACAATGGGGTTTACGATCCGATAAATACTGCATAAATTGAAAACACCATAATTTGAAAGTCCATTTTTAGTTTTTGGGGTGTAATCCCATTGTAAGTCAGGGAGCAGACAGAATGCATGTTGTTTTTACACCATCATAAAGTCAGAAAATTTTAAGCTGACCTGTTATAAATTGAAGATCCTCTGTACTTAGTATTTTGTGTCATTTGGGATTCACGCTAGCAGATTCCTATTGAGTGCCTGCCCCTGTGCCGTGCTGCACACTGGATGCGTGTGCATGGATCTGACGCCATTTCTGCCATGGAAGGTGGTATAGAATCTCAGAGAATGTAGAGAATGTGACCACCCACCCCAGGTCTGTGCCACAGCTTGGTGAGCAGCCTGTCACTCTCACTGCATGGGCCCATGTCTCAGGGACGCCAGGGATAGCAGCTGAGCCCTGGATGTGAACAGAGTGTGCTGGATGTTGGACTCACAGTTCCCACCTGGCAGGGTCGGTTGGTGTTTATGATCCTGGGTCTCCCTTGTGTCGTTGATGAAGGTGCACTTTGCCCTGCCGGACAGTCGGATTCTGGTCTGCACACCCTCCAACAGCGCCGCTGACCTCGTGTGTTTGCGGCTGCACCAGAGCAAGGTGCTGCGGGCAGCCGCCATGGTCCGCGTGAACGCCACCTGCAGGTCTGAGGAGGTGAGCCCGGTGCAAGGGTGGGATGCCAGGACCAGCTCCTTGCAGAGTAGGAAATGCTCGTGGCAGGACAGCGACAGGACCAGGGTAGCAGGGCAAGCCGTGAACCGCCACTGCCATGTCCCTACTGTGGGCAACCTTAGCTTTGCCAGATTCCCATTTGTCTTTTACTTGATCCCCATATGTATTGCTTCTTTTTAGTTCTGTTACATTGGCTTGATTTTAAGTGTCCCTTTAGGGAAACTGTAATTACTGACTTGCCTCTAGAAATATTGCTTTAAAAAAGAAGCAGAATCTAGAAAACACATAAAGTTGCATCTGGGAAGGATCTGCAGGATCATTCGTGACATTCGTGGCTCTAGAGATTACAAAACATGGGCTGACTTGCTGCTGAAGGAAGAAAACAATCTCAGAGATTACTTTTTTTTTTTGACTTAGCATCTCACTCTGTCACCCAGGCTGGAGTGCAGTAGCACGATTACGGCTCACAGCAGCCTCCACCTCCTGGGCTTAAGTGATTCTCTTGCCTCAGTCTCCTGAGTACCTGGGATTATAGGTGTGCACCACCACACCTGGCTAATTTTTTTAAAATTTTTGTAGAGTTGAGGTCTCACTATGTTCCCCAGGCTGGTCTTGAACTCCTGGGCTCAAGCGATCCTTCCACCACAGCCTCCTACAGTGCTGGGATTACCAACATGAGCCAGCATGCCCAACCTTCTTTTAGAACTCCCTTCAGCTTTGTGATCCTGCCCTGTTTAGAGAAATGCTTGATAACTTGAGGAAGAAACTGCCTCCACCCCTTCTTGCCCCAGACCATCGTTGATGCCATCAAGCCATACTGCAGGGATGGGGAAGACATCTGGAAAGCCTCACGCTTCAGGATCGCCATTACGACATGCAGCAGTGCTGGGCTCTTCTACCAGATAGGAGTGAGGTAGGCGCTTAGCGTTGAGTGGCCCACACAGGGTCCACAGGGCCGAGGTTGGCGTCCTCTTCCCACTTTCATCGGAGGGAAGGTGGATGGCACGGAGACACAGTGGTGGAGGAAGGCGGCCTGGCCATGGGGCAAGAGCGTGGGGTGGGGAGGGTCAGCGAAGTGATGTCTGCTGAGACCCCAAGACTCCAAGGACCCAGCAGTGGGACAGGCAGACAGATGGACTAGCATTTGCAAAGGTCCTGTGGCTAAAGAGCCCAAGCACGCTGCCCAGAGGAGACTGCAGAGCCAGCACCATGTGCGCAAGACCAGCAGGGCGAGGGTCGTGAGCAGAAGACCTGTCACCAGAGCTTGGAAGGCTGTGGTCTTGGCCCCTGGGTAGCTGGGAAGCCACTGAAGGGCTTCTGAGCAGGGAGCCAGTTGCTTGGAAGGGGCTTTGGAAGGCAGGCTGGTTAGGAGACAGCTGAGCTTCGTGCCATCAGACCTTGGGGCCACAAGTGTCCTGCTGTAGGGGCTCGGCGAGGGAGATGGCGCAGCTGGGGGTGCTGGCCGTCGTGGGTGGACTTACCCTGGGAACTGGGAGAAAGGCTAGGTGAGGAGCAAGGAACTCTCGTCTCTGATGGGCGGGGGCAGGATGCAGAGGCGCTGGCAGCCTCTCTAGGGCTGGAGCCCTGCAGGGTGGGGGTAGGCTGAAGGCTGACAGACGGAGAAGGGCTCTGAGGGAGGACCTCATCCTCCCTGGCAGTCTAGGGATGGGTCCCCAGGCACTGTCCAGCGTGACACTGGCGGTGAGGGTGATTGCCAGGAGTGGGCCCTCACCGGGCCCACACGTGGCCTCACCTGCCTCTGCCGTGGGCTCTGCGTGTCCATCAGCCCCACACAGAGCAGAGGCCTCCGCCAGCCATACCTGTCATCATGTGTTACTAATGACTGCTCCATGTATTTTGGTTACATGTGCATAATGTCATTTTCTCATGTAATTAGCATAAAGATGGGTTGAGATGTTTCGTTTTTTTGTTTCTAGTCTTCAAAATCCACTGTGTAATTTACAATTAGAGCATATCATATTTCAGATTAGCCACCATGAGGGGCCCAGAGCCCAGGGTGTCTCCCAGACTGGACAGCACAGGCCTAAACAAAAGCTAGGGGTTTTATGTTTATCTGCATCAACAAATCAGAGGTCAACAGTGAGGCTGGTTGCAGTGGCTCATGCCTGTCATCCCAGCACTTTGGGAGGCCAAGGCAGGAGGATTGCTTGAGCCCAGGAATTTGAGACCAGCCTGGGCGACATAATGAGACCTTCTCTCTTAAAAAAAAAAAGGGAGCAGGGATCAAGAGCCTCGAAATGGAGAAACTCCCAAGAAGAACACACCCAGGCACCTCTGTTTTAGAGCTGTACCTTGCTGGGGTACAGAGGGCACTGTGCAGGGTGGGATGGGGCTGGAAGTGCAAGGCATGGACCCTGCTCCCATGGAGCGATGTCCAGGTGGAAGGAGGATCCCAGGGGTCAGCGCCCAGGCAGAGAGGCCTCAGAGGGCTCTGGGCCGAAGGACAGCTTGGAGGGTGTAGAGCAGCCGTGTCATCTGGCAGAGGCGACTGAGTCACTGCTTTTACACAGAATTAAGAAATTAAGATGCCTGTGCTCTAGGAGAGACACACACTGCCGATTTCTTTTAGACTACAGGCACCTGGTCTTTCACAGGGCGGGGCAGGGTGGGGGCTGTCATCTTTGAGTCCTTATCCTGAGACTCGCCAATGCAGGCCTGAGGCAAAGATGCCCGCAGTCCAGGAGTGGAGGCAGGACGGTCAGGCCTACCAATGCTGCAAGAGGGGCCCCTTGCCCCAGCTGGTGTCTCCCTGCGGGGTCTCATCTGACAGTGGGACACCCGAGGCTCCAAGGTGACAAGATCTGCCCAGTATCTGGGACTGGAGAGGGAAGGACGCAGGCTCAGCGCTCAGATGGGCCTGCGGTTTGTCCTGTCGGGTGTCCCATCTGCTCCAGACCCATTTCCTCAGGCCTTCTGGTAGAGGTGCTGCCTCCTCGCTGGCCGTGGTGAGAGGGCTGACCCAGCGCTGGCCCCTCAGCTCCCAGGGCCCCGGCCTGTTGGCATGGCAACCTGGCAGTGCCCCCCAGAGCGGCTCAAGAGGTGCATCGAGGGGGGTGAACAGGTGTATGGAGGAACTGCCCTCTACCTGTGCCCAGCCAGGCCTCCCCTCCCTGCTCACCACAGCCACTCACGCCATTCCCACAGCAGCCACATCCAAGTGATGTGCAGGAAATGGAGGCAGAGAGGGGGAAGCAGAGTCACACAGCAGAGGGGGCAGGAGAGAGCAGAACTCAGCCCTGGGCCCTCCGAGCAGTTGTTAGAAATGGAGCAAAGAGGTGGAGAGCACCCCGTGAGCACTCCGCCCCGTCAGCTGCTCAGAGGAGGTTCTCAGAACCCTGCTCACCCCCACCCCATCCCGCACGTGGGCTGCTCACAGAGGGCCAGATGCTGGAATGGTCTGCTGGCATCTCCTGACAGGCTGCGGCCCATGGTCGCTCCCTGCCTTCCCATGGCCCTGGGCAGCCCCGCTGTGACACTCGTACTGAGTGTGGCTTTGCCAGTCTGTCCTGGGCATCACCTGCTGGAACAGTGCGACGAAAGTTACCACAGAGAATGTCTTTGGCTCTAGAGTCGGACACTTCACACATGTGTTTGTGGACGAGGCCGGGCAGGCGAGCGAGCCGGAGTGCCTCATCCCTCTGGGGCTGGTCTCGGATGCCAGCGGCCAGGTAAGGCCTGAGCTGCATGCTGCGTGTGCTGCTTCCTGCTGACCCTGCTTCTCGCGGGATAGGCACCAAGGTCCCGCAGGGCCAGGCCCAGCCCTACAGGGAACAACCGAAAGGACCAAGGGTCCCGGGCACTGGAGGCTGTGGGACACCACTGTCTGCCCCGTATTGGTTCCTTCTGGCCCAGGCAGAAAAGGGTCGCTTTGTCTTGACTCTTTCACTTGTAAGAGACGTTAAGAACCACTCTAGGTGCTGGGGTGCCGTGGTCCGGTCCACACCTGTGGCCCCGGCCCCCAGTGCTGGAGGGGAGGACAGGGCTGGGGCGTGTAGCCTCTGCCCTGCCCACCCCTGGGACCCCACCCTCCACTGAAGTCCTCATCAGTGTCCTGTGTCCGCCTACTGCTGCCTCAGATGCCCCTGACATTGGCGTAGGTGTCAGCTTGACTTCGCGTGCGCTTGCTGCACACCCAGGCAGGGCATGCGTGTCTGGCCTCTGCTGTGTGGACGTTTCAGGCTCCGGAGCCTCCGTCGTCAGCTGCCCGCCCCCCCCCCAGATCACCAGGTTCTGTGAGGCAAAGCATGGGGTGCGGGGCGAGGCAGGTCCTGTGGAGCCTGTGGCCAGGCAGAGCCCTCTCCCAGGTCAAGGCAGCCATGGGCAGAGACAGAGATGGGCAGTGGGATGGCAGCTCAGGACTTCGGCCTGGCAGAGTATCGGGGCAAGGCCAGGGTCCACCAGGCTTGAACATGCAGAAGCTTCCAGAAGAAGGCCGCTTCCTGGGACTCTTGCAACTTAGGTTGGCAGGAGAGGAAGACAGGCTGCGTCGCTGGTAGACAGTGGGGCTTCAGGGAGGCGTAGAGACTACTTGTGAAGGAGTCTGTTTCTGCTGCCCTCTCCACGCCACAGCCAGCATCCTCCCTGGTCTCCCAGCCTCTCTCCTCGTCCCCTTGTAGCCAAAGTGACCAGGGGCCTGGTCTGCCCGCGCACTTGGGCCTGGCCACCTCTTCCTTGGGCCTGCACGTGTGCGCAGGGCAGCCAACCATCTCCCTGCAGATCATTCTCGCTGGAGACCCCATGCAGCTGGGCCCGGTCATTAAGTCCAGACTTGCCATGGCCTTCGGGCTGAATGTGTCCATGTTGGAGCGGTTGATGGCTCGACCTGCCTACCTGAGGGACGAAGATGCTTTCGGTGCTTGTGGCGCATACAACCCCCTGCTGGTAAGCTCAATGCAACAACAGCCTGCGCCCCTTTTCACGTTTGTGAGCGAATCAGAAACGCCACCCCCCAGCCTCCCTGGGAAGACACTGCCCCAGACGCCTCCTCAGTCAAGAGGCAAGCAGCTGGAGCTCTGCCCTCCTTCCCTCCCTCCCTCCCTTCCTCCCTTCCTCTCCCCCTCTCCCTGTCCCTCTGTCCCAGGAAGCAGGGAGTGCACTTCCTTGCATCCCCTTGTGGGTCTGGGAATTCCAGGCAGTCTGGCCGATGGCTGAGGTCCTGTGGCGTCAGATATGTAAAGAAGGTGAGTCGGGGTTACTCTGTGAACACAGGAAGTGCAGGAAGTAACGTCGGTCACTTTGCCTACATGACTGCCTTTACGACACCTGCCTTAGAGGCCCCGACTCTGAGGTGCTCGCTAAGCCAACTTCATACCAAGTTCTGAGGATGGACTTTGGAATCTGCTTCTTGGGGAGCCCCTGGAATGCTGGGCTGGGGCCTCTAGGGCCCGTCGTCATATGTCAAGCCAGGTGGCATTCCTCTCTCAACTCCAGAGTACACAGCATGGGTATCCATGTGACTCACGTGATCAGCTCTGGCGTCCAGGAGAGGTACCCAGGGAGCATGGCGCATTTTCAGGGAAAAGGAGCCTGTTCCCGGTTATCAGTGGTTGGGGGGCTTCAGACCAAGGAAGGCCTGAGGGACAACCCAGAGGCCCGCAGTCAGAGGAGCCCACAGAGCTGACCCCAAGGAGAGACAGCGCTGAGAATAGCTGCTAGACCAGGGACACCCAGCTGCTGCCCAGGGCGTCTATGTTCACACTCTGTCCACCCATACCCTTATGCCCTCGAGACCTGCCACTGTGCTCTGGAGGGGATGCTGCCCTGGAGATGTGAGCAGAGTGACGTGCTTCCCGTGCCACAGCGGGGGAAGGCTAGCAGCCCCTGCCATCCCTGCTGCATGACATTCAAGGCATATGGGCTCAGTCTGCGGCCATGGGTGCAGGAGAGCAAGCTTTGTCCTACACAGGGCCTGGCCAGCGTCCTGCACCTTCCGCCTCTCCCAGAGCGACTGGGGGCAGCAGATCTACTTCCACTTTCCCCAGCCACCTGCCGCTTCAGCTAGAGCAGAGTCGCAGGTCATGTTTGGGGTTTTGAATTGCATCTTGGAGGCTGGCCTTGCTCTTGTGACTGAATTAAAGTTTGTTGCCCTTGGCTGGGTGTGGCGGTTCTTGCCTGTAATCCCAGCACTTTGGGAGGTGGAGGCAGGTCACTTGAGGCCAGGAGTTCAAGACCAGCTTCTTGTGCTCTATAGCTGCACCCAAAAAAAATTTAACAAGCTGGGCTCAGTGGCTCAGCCTGTAATCCCGTGCCTTTGGGAGGCTGAGGTGAGTGAATTACCTGAGCCCGCAGGTTTGAGACCCACCTGGGCAGCAAAATCTCATCTCTACAATAAATCAAAAAAAATCAGCCGGGCGTGGTAGCACATGCCTGCAATTCCGGCTACTCAGAAGGCTGAGGTGGAAGGATCGCCGGAGCCCAGCAGGTCAAGGCTGCGGTGGCTGGGAGTGGCCACTGCACTCCAGTCTGGGCGACAGAGTGAGACTCCAACTCAAAAAAAAATTTAAACGCACACACACACACACACACCCCAGCCTGGGCAACAGAGCAAAATCCCATCTCTACAAAAAACTTTAAGCCTGTCACCCTGAGTCAGGAGACGCCTTGGGGCTGGTTGTGCTCTTGTGCCAAGACCAGCAGAAGAATGCCTGCACTGAGTGGACTTCCCTAGCCAGCTGGAGGCAAACAGAAAGACTGCTCCATATGCAGGTGACATCACTGTCACCCTCAGCTCAATAAGGTCACAGGCCCGCCCAGAGTCACAGCGCCCATAACTGTCCTGGCCCAGGGACCAAGAGCTCTCACGTCCCTGCAAACTGGGCTGCATTTGAAGGCTAGAGGAGCATAACAGGGCCCAGGGCCAAGCTTGCAGCTGGCAGGGGAAGCATCTGTACTCCTTCAGCCTGGCTACCAGTGTGGCTCTCAGCTGCCCCAGGAGGCCCCGGGGAGGAACAGAGAGAGGTTGCTTTATCTGCTCTTCTGACGTCTGTTTCCTAAGTGGGCCCTTGGCCCTGCTGTCGTCCCAGAGGCATGGTCTGGTGGCAGGAGACATGAGGGGCAGAGGTCGCGTCGGGTTTCACGTTGCCACGCAGACCCACCCTCACCGTGCCAGGAACTGTTCCGTGTGCCGCCCTCCTCTTGTGACCCACTGCCATCTCTCCCTGTAGGTCACCAAGCTCTTGAAGAACTACAGGTCCCACGAGGCCCTGCTGGCGCTGTCCTCCCGGCTTTTCTATCACGGGGAACTCGAAGTCTGTGCAGACCCCAGCGTGGTGAGCTCTTTGCTGGGCTGGGAGAAGTTGCCCAGGAAAGGCTTTCCTCTCATCTTCCATGGTGTGCGGGTGAGTTGTGTTCTGAGTTGTGGGGGAGCGTGGCAGGAGGCCGCTCGCTCCTTGGCAGGGTCCGCCACCAAGCGTGTGCACATGCCTGTGGTGGAACAGGCGCGGGCTGGTCCCGAGAGTGGAACTTCCCACAGCCCCTTGTGGCGTCATGGGTGGCGTTCTGTGTGCTGGCCACAGGCAAGTGCTGGTTTCAGGAGGAGAGAGCAGCTCATCACGCTCCGGGGTGTGACAAGCCAGGGGGCAGCTCAGCGTGCTCCGGGGTGTGACGAGCCGGGGGGCAGTGAGGGCACACGGGCAGGGCCAAGGGGAGCCGGCAGCTGGAAACTCGCCACTGCCACCGTCGGCACATTTTCCTCAAGTCTCTGGTTGTCCCAAGAGAGCCCAGCAGGAAGGGCTCCGGGGCACGAGGGCATGGGTGACAGAGCCTCCCTCTGCCTCACGGAGGGGTGGGGTTGGACGCCCAGTAGCCAGAAGAGTGACTAAAATCATATGATTTGTAGCCAGAGTTAGAAACCAAGTCTTGCGGTAGCTCTTCCCAAAGAAGGGGAACTCAGGACATCCACAGTTAGGGCTGCACCCCGCCAGGGCAGAGGAACGTGGGGTCAAGGCGCCCCTCTCGCTGCAGCCCAGCCCAGCGAGTCCAGGCCACCGTGCATCTGAATGCTCCCCCCCCACCGGCACCGCAGCCTGTGGCCTGCTTCCCACAGTCCTTGAGGAAGATGTGGGCGGGGCAGAGCCGCATGGAGGTGTCTGTGCAGTGCTCCCCTTGCACGGGAGCCAGGGCCAGGGGATTCTGTGACCAGCCGGATGTCTCGGAACGCAGTCCTCTCTGCGGAGGTCCCTCGTGGCCTGGCTGATGCTGTTCCCTCAGGAACACGTTCCTGTTGTCTGTCTTGCCAGCGGGCCCCATCTTCAGACGCTTCCCTGTGTGTCAGAAAAATCATGTTAGGAATTGTCATGAAGGGGATCCTCTAGGGTCTCTGCAAGGAAGCCTCATGAGACATTAATACACTCTGGTAGGAAAAGCCAGGGCTTCACCGAGTATTGGTGCGAGGAGAGCCTAGTGCATGAAGGTGACAGTTCTTCCCATGAGCCTGTAGTGGTGTGCAGTCTAGGTAAAACCACGAGAAGATGATTATAGGATAGAGCTGTAGGCCAGGCACTGTGGCTTATGCCTGCATTCCCAGCACTTTGAGACGCCGAGGTGGGAGGATCACTTGAGCCCAGGAGTTTGAGACCAGCCTGGGCAACATAGACCTTGTCTCTACAAAAAAATTTTAAATGACCTAAGGAGGGTGGTGTGTACCTGTAGTCCCAGCTACTTGGGAGGCTGAGCCCAAGGAGGTTGAGGCTGTGGTGAGCCGGGATCGTGCCACTGCACTACAACCTGGACATCAGCAAGACCCCAACTCAAAAAAACAAAAATAAAAAATAGAATGGAGTGTAAATGTACAAAAAGTTTTACAGAAGAAAAATGAGTTACTTAGTCTACTAGATAACATACTACAGAATTATAGTAAATAAAAGTGTACAGTATAAAATAGATTGTTGGCAAAATAAAGATATAGGCTGGTGGAACAGTGTCCAAGGACATTAATTAATTTGGTGGTGTTCATGTGCCGAATTGTGTACCAGGCTCCATTCTGGACCCCAAGAGCAACATGGGGGCAGAGGCCGTGGGTGCCAGCAGTGTTCTTTGGACTCGCCACAGAGGACGGGCCACTGCCACCGTCGGAACTAAGGGGCTCGTTCTGGTGGTGGCCACAGGGCCGCTGCAGGCCTGGTGCTTGCCCCCCACACCTCCAGCGGGTCTGCTCCAGTGCCTGAAGCCCCAGCCCCGGCCCCTTTTCCCTGAGTACGTGCGCGCTTTCTGCACTCTGCTGTGCCTGGCGTGTCCCTGGAAGGGAGGTACATGGGGAGTAGGAGGTGCCAGACAGCAGCCTGACTCCAGGTGGACAGGCCCTGGGTCTCTGGCCTCTGCGGAGCTGAACAAGACAGTCTGTAGAGATGCATCACCGCTGGTCCTCTTGGAAAGCCAGCTCTGGAGCTGGTCACGTGTCCCCTGTTTTCTGCTCCATTATTCTCAGCTTTCATCTTTCATTATTTCCCCTGGCTAACTGACCTTGGTTATTGATGCCTACATGTTTTTTTTTAAATTCCCTGAAGGTGAGCAGCTAACTGGCACCCCCTCCCCTCCTGCTGTGGCGGGAGGCAGCTGTGTCCTGCCACGGGTCCCATGAGACCCACCTCTGGCGCTTTCCAGACAGTGACACTTTCGCTTTTCTTTCTCATTTTCTTTCTCTTGAGTCTCTTTTTTGATTCCTTAAATTCCACCTTGTAATTTTAGCATTGCCACTTGTTTTTCCCTTTTACCTGGTACTTCTTCATCCTCTGTTTTCATTCTTTTTCATTTTATTTTCGATGTGTTTCTTAGAAGAAACTAGGTTTTGTAGTTAATACAGTGTGAGAATCACTTCTTTTAATGAGATAAATCAGCTCAGTCTGTGGTTATTTAATTTGTTCCTCCTTCTTGACCTTGATTGCTTATTTTGTCCTCCTTTAATTTTTCTAGTTGGTTGGCTGCTATTCGTTGAATTTTTTCTCATCAGTTTAGAAGTTCTGCTCTAAGTTTCCAACCCATTAGTCAATTTCTAAAGTACTTAATTATTGTAAGTCTAAAGGGATAAATTACCTATGGCTTAACAACAAAAATGTATCTTCAAAAGTAGTAAGTTCTTTTTCTTTTTCTTTTCTGTTCTTTTCTTTCTTTCTTTCTTTCTTTTTGAGTTGGAGTCTCACTCTCTGTTAACCAGGCTGGAGTGCAGTGGCACACTCACGGTTACCGCAGCCTTGACCTGCTGGGCTCAGGTGATCTTTCCACCTCAACCTTCCAAGTAGCAGGAACCACAGCCATGCAACACCACACTCTGCTAATTTTTTTGTTGATTTATTGTAGAGATGAGGTCTCGTCAAGTTGCCCAGGCTGGTCTGGAACCCGTAGGCTCAGGCAATCCTCTCACCTTGACCTTACAAAGTGCTGGGATTATAGGCATGAGCCACCACTCCTGCCCTAAAAACAATAAATTCTTACTGATTTTTCTGATATTCACCTATTTTTAAATTGTGACAAAGTACACATAACATAAAACATATCATTTTTAAGTGTAAAGTTCAGTAGTGTTAAATATGCTCACATGGTTTTGCTTTGCAGTCAGTCTCCAGAACCTTTCTGTCTTGCGGAATTGAGATTCTGTACCCACGAAACAATAGCTTAACTCCCCTTGGTCCCTCGTAACCACCACTCCGCTTCCAGTCTCCACAAATCTACCTGTTCTAGGTGCCTCATACGAGTGAAATCGTAGCGTGTTTGTCCTTTTGGTGCTGGCTCATTCCACTAAGCATGATGTTCCCAAGGTCTATCAGTGTTGTCACATGTGCCAGAATTCCCTCCCTCCTCAGAGCTGAGTAAAATTTCAACATATGTATAGCGTGTGTGTGCCACGTTTTGTTTATCTGTTCATCTCTCAGTGGATACTTGGGTTGCAAACGTTTGGCTGCTGTGAACGACACTGCTGTGAACAGGAAAGTACAGCTGTCTCTTTGAGACCTTGCTTTCGATTCTTTGGGGTCTATGCCCAAAAGTGGAATTGCTAGATCATAGGATGATTCTATTTTTAATTTTTTTAGGAACCACCGCCCTGTTTCCCACAGTGGCTGCAGTGTTTTACATTCCCACCAGTAATGTACAAGGGTCTTAGTTTCTCCATATCTTCACCAACACATACTATTTTGTGCTTTGTTTTGTTTTCAGTAGGAGCCATCCTAGTGGGTTTGGATTGTCATTTCCCTAATGATTAGTGATGTTCAGCGTCTTTTCATGTGCTTGCTGGTCATTTTTTTGTTTGTTTGTTTGTTTGTGGGTTTTTTGTTTTGTTTTTTTTTGAGTTGAAGTCTCACTCTGTCACCCAGGCTGGAGGGCAATGGCATGTTCCCAGCCACCTCAACCTCGACCTCGACCTGCTGGGTTCAGATGATCCTTCCACCTCAGCCTTCCAAGTAGCTGGAACTACAGGCATGTGCCATCATACCTGGCTAGTTTTTTTATTTATTGTAGAGATGAGATCCCACCAAGTTGCCCAGACTGGTCTCAAACCTGTGGGCTCAGGCAGTCCTCTCGCCTCGGCCTCCCAAAGGTGCGGGATTATAGGCTGAGCCACCGAACCCAGCTGAGATTATAGGCGTGACCCACTGTGCCCGGCCCTTGCTGGTCATTTGTATGTCTCTTGTGGAGAATTTAGGTCCTTTGCCCATTTTTAATTGTATTTTTATCACCAGTGAGTTTTAGGACTTCCTTATACATGACTTGCAAATGTTTTTTCCCGTTCTGTAGGTTCTGTTTTCACTCTGTTGGTTGTGTCCTTTGACGCACAGAAGTGGTTCGTTTTGACATGGTCCAAGCTCTCACTTTTTGTTGTTGCTACCTGTGACTTTGGAGCCATGTCCAAGAAATCTTTGTTGAACCCACTGTTGTGGAGCTTTTCCTCTGCTTTCTTGTAGGTGCGTTAAAGATGTGGTTTCACACTGAGGTCTTGGATCCGTTTTGAGTTGATTTTTGCATGCAGTGTGAGGTGAGGGTTCATCTTCACTTCTTAGCTTCTGGATAGTGTCCGGTTGTCCCAACGCCCTGAGTGAAAAATTGCTCTCCAGTGAATGATGCTGGCACCATTGTCAAAGGTCCTTTGCCCATATATACCAGGGTTTATTTCTGGGCTCTTGGTGCCAGCCCGTTGGTCCGTTGTGTGTCTTCATATCAGTACATCTGGTTGATCTTTAAGGAAGAATGTGTTCCAGATGAGAAACACCATCTTTTCTCTCACAGGAACATTCCAGGAGTGTCAACGCTGCCTCAGACTGGCCTAGGGTTAGCTGAGAGCGAGCCCAGGCTGAGCTGGGAGGGCAGAAGTCAGAGTGAATGTGACGGGCCTTGTGCAGCTGTGTGGGCTGGCCACAGCTGGCCGGCCTCCGTGTCAGAGCCCACTCCTGCCGCAGCTCCCAGGCTCTGGCCATACTTGTCGTCTTTGCCTGGCCTCGTGTGCTGTGATGTCGCTGGTCAGGGCCCCAGCTGTCCCCATCGGCATGGCCCTGCTCTTTGCGGTGATTACAGCATGGCCTGGCTGTGCACATGGCTTTCCCTGGCTTTCTGCTCTGCCATCCTCAGCCCCCAGTGATGGATCCATGTAACCACCCTTCTTTGCGGCATTCAGTGCACACTGAGTGATGTCAGTGTCACGTATGGATGCATCGGCCCTGCTAGAATGTGTGGGACATGAAAGAGGATTTTTCCTGTCCATTCGTTGTGTTTTTCCAGCATCTACCTCAGCTCCTTGGCCAGCATTTGTGAAATGAGTGAAGTTTTCTTTCCTCATTAACTCAGGGCAGCGAGGTGCGGGAAGGAAGAAGCCCATCATGGTTCAACCCGGCTGAGGCTGTCCAGGTCTTGCGCTACTGCTGCCTCCTGGCCCAGAGCTCCTCCAGACAGGTGTCTTCCAGTGACATTGGTGTCATCACTCCCTACAGGAAGCAGGTAGGCCCGTGGGGATACACCTCACTCTGCGAGGGCTCTGCGGCCCCACTTCTGGCTTGCGGGGCTCCGCAAAGGCAGAACAAGCCCATAGTGAACGGCAGCAGGCGTTCCCTTGAGATGAGAGGCCAGCACCCTCTGCCCAGAGGCGGAGCCAGGCAGCCAGGCAGTTGCCCGCCTTCCGGAATGGCTTCCCAGAATGGCTTTTCATTTCCACACAGCTACATGTCAAGTGTCTGTGTCGGGACTAGCGACGTCCTTGATAGCTGACCCTTTGGGACAAACTTTACCAGTCCCAGCTCTAAACCAGTGCTTCTCAAAGGGGCCTTCTGTGTGTTTTGTCATGCAATTATGGGAGAGTTGGTGTTCCCAGCACCCCAGGTCAAGTCCCAGGAACGTTCTCTGTATAATGTGACACCAGAAACTCCACACACACTCACACTCACCCAGAGCTGTGGTGGGGTACAGATGCCGTCCACACCACACAGGTAGTCTTCAGCTGCCAAGCACTTGTCCCTGTAATGTGCACACATCACCCAACACTTCAGAAAGAAACCCCCAGTAAGAGGAGAAGAAAAGCCTGGCCCTCTAGGTAATCATGATAGCAAGTGACCTTATAGGGTGCATGTGGAGGGGCAGAGCCCTTCCCGGACAGATTTTATTTCTTCTGAAGCGGGACCTCATGATGAGGTGAGGACTTAGCTCTTCCAGTGGCAAAGAGAAGATTACAGAGGCTTAAGGGAAGTCTGTGATGACTAGACATCACACAGCTCTTTGGTGTTGGAACTAAATTCAGACCCAGAGTCCTGTGTCTTAGCCACCAGGTTGGTTGTAGGGTCATTTGCAAGACGGCTCGGCCTGATTTGTGGCTACGGAGAGCACACTCCCTCCCCATACATGCTGGAGAGGGTCCTGGCCTGTTGTGCATGTCTAGCTGGGCTATCTCTAAGTGTAAACACTGTTACACTTCTAATATTACTGAAATCATTTGTTCATATCTTTCCCCAGTTAACTGACCAATCTCTCCCACTTGATTCTCCTGCTATGTTTTGTTTTGTTTTTTTCTGAGGTGGTAAATATTGTCATAAATCCTTTCAGATGTGAATAAGTGAAGCACGTTAATCTCTGGCCTACAGGATTTTAACAAGTTACTGCTGTGTTGGTTCAGACTGAAGGCCTTTCTTCCTTGAGTGCTTCTTGTGAGGCAAGTTCATTGGCAACACATTCTTTCAGTCTTGGCTTACAGGGAGATATCTTTCGTTCACCTTATTTTTTCTCTCGTGTGCGTGTGTATGTGGCAGAGACAGGGTGTCCTGTCGCCCAGGCTGGAGGGCAGTGGCGCAATCACAGCTCACTGCAGCCTCGAGTTCCTGGGCCTCCCAAGTAACTGGGACTGCAGAGGCAGGCTGTCACACCCAGCTCCACCTCCATTTTCACAAAGCGGTTTGCTGGCGGTGGAATTCCGGCTGGCATCTGTCGCATTTCACTTGTCTTTCAGCGCTGTACCTAAGGTCCTCCACCTCCTGGGCATCCATGCCCACTGAGAAGTCAGCTATTCTCCAGGTGGGATGAGCTCTTTTCTCCTGATTCTCTCATTGTCTGTCTTTGGACTTCAGCAGCTCTCTGGGATGCATGTGGCTGAGGGTCTCTTTGCGTTGATCTTGCTTGGGTTTGGGGGAGCTTCTTGAATCTGTGGATTAATGTCTTCCACCAGATTTATGAAGGCTTTTGACCATTACTTCTTCACAGTTTCTGCCCCTTTTCCCCTTTTCTGAGATCCCCTTCACACATGGTCCGCCTGATGTTTTCCCACCAGTCTCTGTGGCTCTGTTCCTTTTTCTTCGATCTCTTATTTTCTGAGTTCTCTTTTTCTTCTGCCAACTTAAATCTGTTCTTGAAACTTTCTAGGCTTTTTAACTAGTTTTTCAACTGATTTTTTTAATTAAAATTTTTATCTCCTTCCTGGGAATCTCTATCATACTTTCCTTAGGAGTTTTTACATGGTTTCCTTTAGTTCTTTGGACATATTTGTAATAGCTTATTTTTGAAGTCTTTGCTAAATTTATCATCTGGAAACCCTCATGGACAGTTTCCACAATGCTTGCCTCCTTGAGAGTGGGTCACACGTTTCTGTTTCTTTACATGCCTTGTAATTTTTTGTTGAAAACTAGGAATTTTAGAAAATTATATTGTAATAACTTTTTTGTTTTATTTTGTTTTTTGAGGTGAACCCTCACTCAGTCACCCAGGCTGGAGTGCAGTGGGGCACTCACGGTCATCCCAGCTTCGACTTGCTGGGCTCTGGCAATCCCTTCGCCTCAGTCTTCCAAGTAGCCGGATCTACAGGCACACGCTACTGCGCCTGGCTAATTTTTATTTATCTTAGAGATGAGGTCTCGCCAAGTTGCCTGGGCTGGTCTCAAATCCGCGGACTCAGGGAATCCACTTGCCTCACCCTCCCCACCCACCATTATTGTTGATGTTTTGTTTTGGGTTTTTTTTTTGGTCTGCTACTTTGTTTAGTAACTACCTGAGCTAAGTCTGCAATGTGTCTCCCTGTGACATGCAGCCACTAATGCCCCTGTTGAGGTTTTTGGGTTGGTTTGTTTTGGGTCGGGGGTCTCACTCTCTTGCCCAGGCTGGAGTGCAGTGGCGTGATCACAGCTATCATGGCTTACGGCAGCCTCCACCTCAGTGATCCTTCCCCTCAGCATCCTGAGCAGCTGGGACTATGGGTGTGCACCACCACGCCCGGCTAATTCTTTGATACGCAGTAGAGACAAGGTCTCACTCTGTTGCCCAGGCTGGTCTCGTGCTCCTAGGCTCGAGCAGTCCTCCTGCCTTGGCCTCCCCACGTGCTGGGATGACGTGCATGAGCCATGACGCCTGACTTTTTTTTCCTATGATTTTTAACCCTGGCTTCCCAGTGGTGACCCTGTGTCTACACCGCTGCAGTGTTATGCTGCAGATCATGGTTTTCGTCCATAGTTCCTGGCTCTTTTTTTTTTTTTTTGAGTTGGAGTCTCATTCTGTCACACAGACTGGAGTGAAGTGGCACGTTTCCAGCCAATGCAGCCTCGACCTGCTGGGCTCTGGTGTTCCTTCTGCCTCAGCCTTCCAAGTAGCCAGAACTACAGGTGTGCACTACCATGTCCGGCTAATTTTTGATGTAGAGACGAGGTCTTGCCAAGTGGCCCAGGTGGGTCTTGAACCCGCAGGTTGAGGCAATCCACTTGCCTCGGCCTCCCAAAGTGCTGGGATGACAGGCTGAGCCACCGAGCCCAGCCACTTCCTGGCTCTTAATGCCTGTTGGCCTCGTTACAGTCTTTTTGTTGCCAACAGGGTTGACTTTACCCCAGAAGTGAGGTTCTTTCCTGCCCAGTGACTCGAAGCCAAATACTAGAACCAAGAGTAAGGGTCAAGCAATGCAGGCTTTACTCTGTGGCCATAATGGTTCACAAGTCAACTTCTCCCCATGTGGGAAGCAAGGGGTTTAGAGTTTCTTTAGTTAGGGGCTTGGATGTTAAAAGCAAAGGGAGGAGTAGTCATGTCTTTTCTGAGAATGAATGGACAGAAATTTCTCAGAATTTGAATCACACGCCTCTTCTTACTTTGGTCCCACATTAGTCGTGGCTGCCAAGGGGCATGTCATCTAGTGTGGAAAGCATATGATAGCGAGGTCACAGATTCTTCAGGGCTCTTGGAGCCTGTCTGCCTGAGCTGACTTGGTCGAGAGAGAAACTTCAGACCACAGGCCTTTCTGTTTCTGAAAGGTAAGCAGGGTGAGATCGGAGTAGAAGCTCAGCTGTGTCAGGTGGGCATCACACTGAGTAACGCTGCTATAATGCTGGGTGCTTCAGGCCTCCGGAAACAGAACCTCTGCTTTGGACCTCCGGCCCTCCTGTCACCTGCCTGTGGCAGGACTCTAATCTGACTTTGGATCAGAAGATCCTGATGGTGTAGAAATTCCAAGTGCAGCCAGATGCGCTTGAAGAGGTTTACTCTGAGCCAAATGTGAGTGACCAGGCCCAGGATGCAGCTGAAGAAGTCTTCAGAGCGTGTGTCTGGGTGGGTTATAATATTGTAATAACTTTTTTTGTTTTGTATACATTTTAGGGAGGAAGAGCTTAAAAAAAACATAGATCAGTATATGTGAATTTTCATTTGTTTGGCCCGGGAAAGTGGGACACTTCCAGATGTGGCTTGCAGGTGGATTCAGAAGATTTCTTGGGCCAGGCATAGTGGCTCATGCCTGTGATCCCAGCACTTTGGAGGCCCGAGGCAAGAGGATTGCCTGATCTCAGGGGTTCGAAAGCAGCCTGGGCAACTTGGTGAGACCTCATCTCTACAATAAATCAAAAAATAAGCCAGGCATGGTAGTGCACACCTGTAGTTCCAGCTACTTGGAAGGCGGAGGTGGAAGGATCACCTGAGCCCAGCAGGTTGAGGCTGTGGTGGCCATGAGCGTGCCACTGCACTCTAGCCTGGGTGACACAGTGAGACTCTGACTCAAAAAAAATTTTTTCTTGATTGGCAGTATATAGGTTCTATCTAAGAAATTTTGGAAATAAGTAAGGAGATGTCTTGTTGAAATAAGGGGGGCTAGTTTCTTTCTTTCTTTTTTTTTTTTTTTTTGAGTTGGAATCTCACTCTGTCACTCAGACTGGAGTGCAGTGGCCGCTCCTGGCCACCGCAGCCTCGCCTGCTGGGCTCCGATGATCCTTCCTGCTCAGCCTTCCGAGTAGCTGGAACTACAGGCGTGCGCTACCACGCCCGGCTAATAATTGTTGATTTACTGTAGAGATGAGGTCTCGCTAAGTTGCCCAGGCGGGTCTCAAACCCTCAGGCTCAGGCAATCCACTCACCTCAGCCTCCGAAAACGCTGGGATTACAGGCTGAGCCACCAAGCCGGCCATCTCCTAGTTTCTTGACATGTAGATGGAGTCTACACATGCAGACTTGAGAGAGCATAAATAAGCGTCTTACAAGGTGCCCCGAGTCTGGGAGTGCTCAGGAGATGGCTTTACAGGGTCATAAAATACTTTTATTTTCTTCTTTATTTGGGGTGTGATGTTGGCGACCGGGTATATGGGGCAATGTCGTGATCAGACCCATCTGATGAGTCCTTATCAGGCATGACTCCCCAAGCCTCTTAGTTTAGAATTTGGGTAAGAGGAGAAAAGTTTGGCGTTCCGTCTTCAGTTCTCACTCAGAGAGGGTCCTGCCCCACACCCAGAGAGCCAAGAGCAGTCTGAGCAGACAGGCCTTGCTGGATTTGCAATGCGTGCTCTTTGCTGCGAGGACAGACACTCCTGATGAGAACAAAGAGAATATATATGAAACCTGTGAAGAAAAGGCATTACTCAAAAATAAATATGGGCTGGGCTCAGTGGCTCAGCCTGTAATCCTGTGCTTTGGGAGGCCGAGGTGAGTGAATTGCCTGATCCCGCGGGTTCGAGACCCGCCTGGGCAACTTGGCGAAACCTCATCTCTACAATAAATCAAAAACTAGCCAGGCGTGGTAGTGCATGCCTGTAGTTCCAGCTACTTGGAAGGCTGAGGCGGAAGGATTGCCAGAGCCCAGCAGGTCGAGGCTGCGGTGGCCGGGAGCTGTCACTGCACTCCATTCTGGGCGACAGAGTGAGACTCCAATTCAATAAATAAATAAATAAATAAATATGATGTTGATGGCTGTGGTGGTGAGGAGAAAAACATGATTTGGGAGAGTTTTCCTGCCACTGCACTCCATTCTGGGCGACAGAGTGAGACTCCAATTCAATAAATAAATAAATAAATAAATATGATGTTGATGGCTGTGGTGGTGAGGAGAAAAACATGATTTGGGAGAGTTTTCCTGCCACTGCACTCCATTCTGGGCGACAGAGTGAGACTCCAATTCAATAAATAAATAAATAAATAAATAATAAATATGATGTTGATGACTGTGGTGGTGAGGAGAAAAACATGATTTGGGAGAGTTTTCCCGCAAGCAGCCGCTTAGTGGCAGACTGGAGACCGGATAGTGGGTGTCCTCGGCACTGAGGCAGTGAGGCTGGCAGCCCCAGTGAAAGGTCCCATGTGACAGGCGCAAAGCTCAGGCTGTTTGTTGCGAGGCATCCTGACTGCTTTTTTGCTGTCTCCTTGGTGTGTGTGAGCACCACCAGAGCTGTGCCCATCCCAACCCTAGCGTGACCATGGAGCTGCTGGCCCTCATCCGGGGCCTCTGAGGCCAGTGGGGCGTGCCATGGAACCTGGGGCACTACCACTGCCACTGCCACGCCATCACATCCGATCCCTCTGGTCTGCTGCTTTTGCAGCCCAGGCAGGTTAGGGTACTCTGCTGTGTTTCTGGTCTGTGGGTGAACATGGGAGCCACAGCTCCCATCATTGTTTGGGGACAGGCAGTGGACGCCCACTGTGCCTGCTCTGGTGG